TTATTCTTAAGAACCTGTAAATCTTTCCTTATCACCTGTACTTATTGCCCTTTTTCACTGCATCCGTATGAAAAGAATTTATCTGGTTTGGAAATATATATTTCAGATCAGATATGTTCATGCAAATGAATGAACCCTGCATGTATATTTAATGTTGGAACACGACAATGAATGCATTCATGTACCAGTCATACTTGATGAACAGCAAGCATTTTTATTTTCTGTGGTTTAGAACAAGGGGGAAAAAATAGAATGAGACAATTAAAAATAGACAGTGCCTGCATGAACATTTTATTTCTCTTCCCTGAATTTTATCTACCAACTCAGTAGATCAGACCAGAAAATATGAGTGGCAATCAATATGGTTTTATTTTAGTTGAATGGCCTTGATTGAAAATCTCAGTGCTTCAAAAAAGTGTCATCACTAAAAGAAGATGTTGCTAAGCATAAAATAAAACAAGGAAGTTCATTGGCTGTAGATGATAATGAAAAACTGGACCATGGAGTCAAGGCCACTGTATTGTATGATGTGATCCGTGGCTATTTCTGGTAGCATGGACTTTTGAAGTGGACAAAATATGGCCAGCAATTTAGAAGAAAATAGAATAATTTGTTTTGTATGAAATATATATATAGTTTTTATATATGTATATTAAATTGATAAATAATTTCATTCTCATCATTATCAAAAGTAAACTATATTTCTTCAACCTTCATACAAATATATAAATATATCATGTGCAAGGGGGCATTATAAGTGCTCAGAAATACACATCTTTTAATGCAAACAAGAAATGCATAACTTTTAATGCAAACAAGTTGCTCTACCAACTGTACAACTTGTAGGAAATCGCCAAAAGCATTCATACCATAACGTATCCAATTTCTCAATCTGGCTGTACTTGAGTGGTCTAATCATATCATTTCCATTTTAGAACAATCCATATGAGCTTGTGTCTTACAAGTTGTGATGAATGCATATTACTCGCACAAGATCACATTACGGGTAGAGATCTGATGCAGAAAATGGTGATCAAACCCTGAATACACAGATCAGAACTATTGCAACAAACATGTCAGGAAATTCTAATTGACACTTCTCCACTGCCGCTTCGCTTGTGCACTTCGAATTGGGTGTGTAAGCATTTTTCTCCCTCTGCGAGCAAAGTAAGGATTGTAGTTAGTGAAACAGTCGTGTTTTGCTCGCAGAAGGTACATGGATCTCATAACAGATCATAGAAAAGCTATGTACACAACTGGATCCAAAATCACACTTAATAATAAATATAAGCAACTTCCTAATATTTCGTGTACCTCATCCTCTTGACTCATTTTTCTTCAAATATTTCAAAATGGGGGAAGAATCAGGGCTTTATATTATTATTTTTTTCTGACCGACTGTTTCAGTTCAAATTGTCCTGTCTCGTCACGTCATTGTGCAACAGAGAAGCAATAACTAGCATTCTCAAGACCTTCAAGGTGGTGCTATCTTTTTGCCTGTAAAAGCATTTCATTCATCCCCATGAAGGCATCTGCTTGATTGGGCCCTTTCATTGGGTACACAAAAAATATACCCAATACCCAAAAAGCTTCAGTAATATGAATGGTTAGCATCAATAAGGACGCAAGCATTGGAAGAATAATCTGCTATGAACTGCTAACCAAGCCTCTTTCATATCAGCAATGCTCACACAAATGTTTTCCCCCTCCCAACTCTACTAAATGAACAAGTGCTGCATAGGAACAGATTTTACAAAGTTAAATATAAATATTAACAACACATTATCAGAGACATTCCTTAATTCATGACGTGTTTCTTAGGTATATAAAAGCAGTTGTAACTCTGTGTCTGAGAGTTCACATAGTGCAGGAAGCTATGGTTTGCTTTAACCATGCTTGATTTAGTCAGTCAAAATTGGCTGGGTTCACCCAACATGCTAAGCCACAATTCATGGTTTACAAAACATAATGCCAAGATTCATATAATATATTCAACTAAAACCAGAGGAACCGTGTTTTTGACTTATCATGATATGAATGCAGCCTCTTGTGACCTTGCCTTCTCAGAAAAACATTCTCGCCAAGCTTAGAAATGTTGGGCTATGTTACACTTTTCAACACAAAAACTCTTAGAAATTTAAAAACTGATAAATGTCCATTGTTTGGCCATACACATTGCGCCCATTTTTGCCTGAAACAAGAAACAGTATAATAAGTAATCTATTATATCTAAACATTTTTTTAAGGATCTCATTGTAATCTACCACAAGTACAATTAGTACAAATAAGAGAAAGCACACAAGCAAAAGAGACTTTAAATTCCAGCATTTCAAAGCAATCTTACAATTTTTACACATTGGAAATACGTTCCAGATTGTAATAATGCTGTGCCAATGCAAAATATTGAAATGTTTATTCAAACATCCAAAAATATGTTTTCAAAAGTAAAACAGAAGTGTTTTGTACTAAGATTAAATAATCACGAGAACATTTATTTCTGTGATTTATTGGGGCCAAATGTATTTTCATTATGCTTTTGCCTAGTAAAATTCAGAAATGGTTAGCAACGATTGAATTTGGAAACATTTTCAATGAGCTCCCCTCCCCAATCTTGAATTATGTCATTGTGACTTTCTGTCACAACTCTTTTATATGGAGCAGAAGAAAAAAAAAAATCCTGTCTTTCTCTTTAAATAGTTGATTGGAAATATTTGGATGGGTATATATAAAGCCAGACCTCCTAGAGTGTGGGCTTATATGTATGAATGGAGAGTGAGTGAGTGAATGAGTGAGTGAGTGAGTGAATAAATAAATAAGTAAATAAGTAAGTAAGTAAATAAATAAATAAATAAATAAATAAATAAATAAATAAATAAATAAATGTGCTTGGTTGGTTGGTGGCACAGTCAACCAGATATTTAGGCTGCATTTGACATCTTTATCTACCTTTAGGCCTTCCCAAGGGATAGGCAGATGGTGATTCATGGTTTTGGAGGTATCACTGCAGGCTACAAATTGTTCCAAGTAAATGTCTATGGAGATTCTCAGTCATCCAGGTCATGGTTGTCCCAAAGGTGCTTTTTCAAGAGACAACTGGATTTTCTGGTTTTTCTTTGAAGACGTTTCTTCAAAGCTTCTTTGTATTTTTTGATTTTATTATGTGTGGGTAATCTACGATTAGATTTGCAATAACCAAAGACCTAAGAATTATTAAGGTAGCATCATTAAAGGTTAGAGACTGTAACATTACCAGAACCAGTTCAGGTTGGTAGATAGATATTTTTCAAATTCCCAGAAAGAGAGTGACTGGCCCAACATTGCCCAAATGGCTTCCGTGCTGAAAGAGAGAACCTGGATCTCTACTCATACCTAGTCCAGCACCCTAACCACTAAACCACATGGACTCTTTTCATATTCATAATACCTGTATGTATATGAAAATGTAAACAAGCAACTTTTCAAATGCATGTGTGTGCTTTTGTGCATTTCTGGCACGTATTCCCAAAATTTAAACCATGATAAATATTTTTATTGGAATAGGACAAGTATATTTAGTGAATCAGAGGCCTTATGTGAACAGGCTAGGTCAATGATGGCTAACCTTTTCCGGGCCGAGCGCCCAAAGCACATGCACACGAACCCCCAAAATGCAATGCATGCATGGCCCCGTGCATGCGCCCCGCTCCCGTGCATGTGCGTGCCCCCTGCATGCCCCCATCTCCGTGCATGTGCCCCCGCATGCACCCTGTCCTCTGTGCATGTGCCCTTGCACATGTGCATGTACCCCCACACATGTGTATGTGCCCCCAGCATTGCCCCACCCCATGCATCTGCGGATGCCCTGCATGTCCCCCCGGATAGACCCAAAGACCAGCTGGATGGTGGGAGGCACCCACGCATGTGTGGTGAACCTGAGCTGGGGCGATGGCTCCAGAGAGTGCTCTGCGTGCCACCTCTGAAAGAAATAGGTTCGCCACCACTGGGCTAGGTGTACCTAGCATCTCTGATCACAGAATAAGTATTCTTCCATGTAGCACAGTTTAAATGCATGAGGATATACTGAAGGTCAAAGTTTGACCTAAATATAGATTTGATTTATATATTGCATTATTATACCTTGATTTGATTAACAATCTGCAATTGACTAGGCTCATATCACATAAAGACTTATTTCACCCATTGTCCAACGCCATTAGAGAGGTGGAGGAAATGATTGGTTTTGGGTTACTTCTGTTGTTTAAATTCAAACTGAGTGGCTTGAAAAAAAGTATATCACATAAAGACATATTCTTTTTCGAGCCACTCAGTTTGAATTTAAACAACAGAAGTAGCTCAAAACCAATCATTTCCCCCATCTCTCTAATGGCTTTGGACCAGGGGTGTAATCCAGCAGGTTCTGACAAGTTCTGGAGAACCGGTAGCGGTAACAGTGTGCCTACCGTCCCTGTCCTACTGTCCCCATTTATTTGTACTCATTTCCTGTGTTCATGTCCATGTTTATACTTATACCTGTTATCTTGTACATGATCAACAAACTAACTAACTAACTAACTAACTAACTAACTACTAACTAAACTAACTTACTAACTAACTAAATCTATTAGTGAAAGGCAGGAAATGAAAGTGGAATGAGGTTTCTATATGGATATTGAATTTAATAATAATAATAATAATAATAATTAATAATAATAATAATAATAATAATAATAAATCGTGTGTTGTCCCGATTGTAATTGGAACCCTTGGAGCAATACCCAAAGGGCTACCCCGCTATTTAGAAATTCTAAATTTGCCGGACTTGAACATTTTGACTCTACAAAAAACCACCTTACTCGGAACAGCTTACATCCTCCGACGATACCTTAACAGTTCCTAGGTCCTTGGTTAGGACTCGAGCTGCTGAGCTATTAAGCCTCAAAGGCTGTGAATCTCACTAAAGATTAAATAATAATAATAATAATAATAATAATAATAATAATAATAATAATAGCGACCTGGCATCGAAACTATATGGCTATGGATGAAACATGTAACAGTGATACCCATTGTCATCAGGGCACTTGGTACCATGTCCAAGAATTTTATAAGATACATCAACAAATTGCAGCTTCCTGCAATAACACCAGTGGAACTGCAACGAACTGTGCTACTTGGAACATCGTACATCTTAAGAAGATACTTGGTTGATACCTAGGACGCTGGCAGCAACCCGTATCAACCATTAGCACCAGTCAATGGTATTTGTGATGCATTTTTGAATGTTCAGTTGACAGCGTTTTATGTTTAATGAATAAAGTAAATAATAATAATAATAATAATAATAATAATAATAATAATAATAATAATTTTTCCTCTTAGAAGGCACTCTTCAGAAAGCATAAGTGTACAACAATGAATAATTTCCCTTTTTCATTTTGTTTATTCTTTTACCTACTAAATAGTTGCCTAATCATGGTGTAGTAGGCAAATATATGTGGTTCTGCATGATCAGATATTTAGATCCCATCCAAAAGATCCTGATTAATATTTTAAGGAATAGCCTTATCGTTAAGAATTAATCAAAGATATTTGATCCTGGACAGATCAGGGACAATGATTTTGGTGACTTATGGGGTAGACCAGAAGCCGTTGAGAACTTTCTGCGAGTGAAATACAATCAATAGATTCTTAACAGAGGGTTTTGAAGTTTTATTTAGCTGTTGGTTTTACTTGTTAACTATGTTTATATATAGCAGAAATATATCAGGCTTAGTGGGTTGGGTAAACACTGTTGTAGAAATTCATAAATTGTGTGCCTGTTTTGCAAGGTGGAGGGGGGAAACTATGATCGTTATCTCTATTCAGCTAGAGGGGACAATTTATATATATGTCCTTTTTGTTTTTTTTCTTTTTCTGGACTTGTGTAGTCTCGTCTAATTTTGTTTTATTTTGTTTTTGTATTTTTCCCTTTTTTGAAGTTTGTATTTTAATGTTTTGAATAAAAATTAAAAAAGGGTAAATTTTATGAAGAAAGCAGTTACAGTACCTATAGAAAACAAACAAAAAACCCCAAAACAAATAAATAAATACACGTTTACTCCTTGTCCTGAAATTCCTTACAATATGATATTTATGCCTATGAATCTGGCAAAAAAATAAAATAAATTCCTGTAAATATCAGGACTTTGATTTAATACGGCATTCTAAGGCTTCCTTCCTTTACTTTTTTTTGCAATATTTGCATTTCCTTTATGTACTGAGTTTGCTTATTTATTTAAATATTCCAAGTAAACCAGTGAATGTTTTAAAACTTTAGTATCTACAGACATCAGAAAACTTGTTCATTTCTACATATCAAGGATTCACTGGCAACCTACCTTGGCCTTTGTGGTATGTAAACATTGCCATAACTGAAATACCTTTTTTAAAAGGAAGTATCAAATTGATTTAATTTGGGGTACCATGAAATGGATCTCCGAACTTTATAAATGTGCCATAACCCATACATATAGAGAAGACAGAATCCTGTCTGCCAATGAAACACAACTGGAAGTAAAGAATAAGAAATAGTGGCATGATACTGTAGGCACAGCAGATAATAACAATGATGATGATGCAGGTCATGAATTTAGACCCAAATCTCCAGCTGTACATGGTTATGGTGCGGATGTTACACCGCTGTTCAGTCTAGGGTGTAAGTGGTGGTTTTGGTGATGAACAGGATCCTTGGCTGTCAAAGCTGGTTGCTCGGCCTGGCAACTGGAACAGATGGTACATTTTAAGAAAATAAGAAAAGACCTACTGAATCAAGGTCCGCGAAGTCCTGCATCCTGCTTCTCACTTTGGCCAATTTGATGCCTCCAGGAAGCCTACAAGCAGAATACCAAGGCAATGACCCTCACCCACTCATTGCTCCACTCCCACTGTACCCTGAATAAACTGGATCTACATATAAGCATCAGGAATTTTAGGCATCAATCGTTTCAACCAGTGATGAAATTCAGCCGGATCTATCCGGCTCATGCAATCCGGTAGGGCCGGTCATCTGGATCTCATCACATCCCATTTTTTACCCTCTGCGCATGTGCCAAAGAGTCTGTGCATGGGTGGAGGAGGCGCGCACACTCACATTTGCGATCTGGTAGCAAAGGTAAGTGCATTTTACCCCTGGGTTCAACTCTCTGCCTGGATAGTATATTCAGAAAGCCATTTAATGTGTGGAAAGAGATGGGGTACCTGTATTGGTGCAGGAAGGATTTAAAAATCATTTTGTCCCAGTGCTGTAATTCAGTGGTAGGTTGCCCCCGGTTTGCACCAGTTCGCAAGAACCAGTAGTAAAACCGGTGGGAGGCTCTGCCTACCACTCTGGATGTTGTCATAGGCGATCTGCACATGTGCAGAAGCTTCTGCGTATGCGCAGAAGCTTGGTGCGTACATGAGCGAAGCAAGAGCGTGTGCGTGATTCTGTTGCAAACTGGTAGCAAAGGTAAGTAGAACCCACCCCTGCTGTAATTGCTTAGTTTTTCTTTAAAAAGTAAATGAAACATTGGGAGTGATACTCATTGGACTTCTGTAATCAGTCATTTGCTGACTGTTGCTCATGGAAGAGGTTTCTGTTCTCCTAACTTTGTCTTAGATATTTGAAAATTATTTTCAAAACTCTCCTGCAGCTGATTTTCTACTTAGAAGCAGGGCTGTCTTAACAGTATGATGGGCCCCAGACAAAGCAGTGTACTGGGGCCCCTATGACAACTACTCACAGGAATAAAAATGTAAATGGTCGATAAAATTAAATATATATTTACTTTATTGGCACTTCCAACAAAATCGGTGTTGAAACATTAAAACATTGATTAGTGGTTGCTGCCATGCAGCAACCACTAATCAACATGATAAACATTTGAACAATACACGAGACTTGAAAAACACAACAATACTCAGTAAGCCATACAGTTGCTGTATTTATATGATACAAGGTGCATTGAAGAGTTAACATACACAGATTAGTATAGTGCCCTTATACTCGTGGGCTCCACGGGCAAGTGCCCATCAGGCCCATGCGTTAAGACAGCCCTGCGAGAAGTAGTAGAAGGTGCTGGTATCAGTGTGGTTAATTTTCATTACAGGTAGTCCTCACTCACTGACCATAATTAGACTGGCAAGTCCATCACTAAGAAACTTGGTTGTAAAATAAAAAATCATGAGATTGCATCTGATTTACAATGGAAGTTAATCCGTTCTGGCTGCAGTCATTAAGTGAATCTCCACAGGCCACATGACCATAACTTGCAACTTCCTGCTGGCTTCCCCATTAACTTTGTGGGAAGTCAGCTGTGAAGGTTACAAATTGCAGCCATGTGACTTTGACTGGGATAATCATAAATGTGTGCTAGTTGCCTAGTATCCAAATTGTGATCTCGAAGCCGCTGTGATGGCCGCAACTTCAAGGATCAGTCATAAGAACAAGTGTTCAGCACTGTTGTGATGTTGAATGGTTGCTGTAGCAATGGTCAGTAGGCAAGGACTATCATTCTGTGTGTGTTTTCCTGTCTATGTTTTCTGAAGTTGCCCTGGTGGCCCACAGGGCAGTTCTCAATCTAAAAAAAGGTCTATGGAGAGAGACCCCATCAGTAGTGGTTTTCACTTACCTTCGCTACCGATTCGGAACTGTAAGCATGCGTGGAGTCTCGCTTGCTTCGCTTGCGTGCGGCACTTCTGCACATGCGCAGAACCTTCTGCGTATGCGCAGAGCACCCGTGATGATGTCTGGGTGAGTGGGCGGAGCCTCCCACTGCTGCCACTACTGGTTTGCTGGAACCGGGGCGAACTGGTAGAAACCCACCACTGGACTCCATCACCACAATATCTTTTGAGATATAATGAGTGTATTGGAAGCAGGGAGGAGGCAGAACACAAGAAAGTGCAGTTCATGGAAACACATGATATCTATGCACATCTCTTGGCACTTTACCACTAAAGTGCAAGAACACATTCCAGCTGAACTTCTCTTCTTTAAAAGACATTGCCAATGCAATTGTTCTTTTACCAGACTGAAGGAGGATTAAGGGAGAAAAAATTCCAGGAGAATCTATATGGGGAGGGCGGGGGTAAAAACATGGGAGTTAGCTATTTTATGGAAATAATTTTATCCTTACCTCTAATAATGGATGCCAGTGGGTTATTGGTTTGCGTGGATATGCCAGCATTTCGTTCCAGTGGTCTCTTCCGAGTCCTTCTGCATCAAGTCCGGTCCTACATACCCCGATCACTTCATTGTGCCCTACTCTAGGATTAAAGAGAGGGAAAATTGGTCCACAGAACTGTATATACTTGTGATGGACTATATTTTTATTTATTTTTAAATGTTATGCTGCCCTTCTCTCTACCAAGTGACTCTAATGAAGTGGGCAGAGGTGGAGGCAAGACAAAAAAAAAAAAAAAACACAACATAACCAGGGTTAGAAAGGAGACAGAAGAAAAGAATTAGGATAGTTACTCCTTAGAATCTCCCAGGTTATATCCATTAGGCTAATAGTTTAGTCTGGCAAGATTCTGGCTAGTGGTGTGAACAAAAAATAACTGAACTTTTACCTAGATGGTTCTAGTCATTTTTGGACTGGGCCTGAGAATGCTCTGATGTAAAACAGTAAGAGCTGCAAATGGAATAACTATCTTTTTTAAAATCAAGGGTAAGTAGAATTTGTGAGTTGCATGAGTTGTACAAATTAAGAAAAAATGCAATTTCCTTGTTTTATATTTTTTTCTCTCTTCTACGGTGACTGGAGAAGGTCAAATAGGTATAGGACATTGCCTCATCTGCTGACACCTGGAAATGTTATTCATTGAATTCTTTCAGGTTCTGAGATTTCATCAAATCTCTCTAGGCTTTTTAGATGTGAGAATAATAATGCTTCAGAGGATAAGAGTGCCTTTATAAAGTCTAGAAAGGTGTTTTAAATCTACAATAAAAGAATTGAAGTTATTACAGCATATCTCTATGTATCTACTACAGCAATGCATTTTGGGGGTTTACTGTAGCATTTGTTGTTAGGGACCATTTCAGATATGTCCTTTCAATGTTTATCAAATAATCTATTATGAGAAGTAGACCTATTTTGGACCTGGTGATAGAAGCTAAAGTTGTTTCTAAGGGCTAGAATCTGGGGTTGGCAATCTGCGGGTTTATGTTATCTGAAAGTTATGAAAACCAACACTTATTTTCATGGTAGGATATCTACATACAAACTATAAATGGCCAAAACAGCAGTGATGATGTTGATCAAATAATACGTCTTTTTGTTTTTTCCTTTAAAACTGTCACTTGCTTTCCTATAGTCTGTCTGACTCCTGAAATTGTTACTGGATGTTATGCTCTGAGTGATCAACAGGTGGCAAGAAAGTAGGGTCAGTCAGGCACAACACAGGTTATGTAGACAGTAAACACAGGGTCAATCAAAATGGACTCAAATGTCTATACACCAATGCACAGAGTATGAGGAATAAACAGGTGAATTAGAAATTCAAGTAAACGAGGGCAGATATGATATTGTTGCCATTACGGAAACTTGGTGGGATGAAACCCACAAATGGAACATACAGTTAGAGGGATTTAAATTATTTAAAAGAAATAGACCAAATAAAAGAGGAGGTGGAGTTGCACTATATATAAGAAATAACTACATCTCTACAGAAATAGAGCACAACAATGATGAAAATTATCTTGAATGCATTTAGGTCAATATTAAAGGGGAAAAAATGCCATTGCCATAGGTGTATACTATAGGCCACCCAACCAAACAGAGGAAATAGATGAACTTTCTGCTAGTCAGCTAACTAAGGTATGTAGGAAGCACATCATAATAGTAATGGGGAATTTTAACTACCCTGTCATCAACTGGTTCTAACAAACCTAGCAGACAACTTTGTTTTCCAAAATGTAGAGAAGGGAACAAGGGGATCAGCCACATTGGACTTAATTCTCACTAACAGAGATGAAATGATAGAAAGTGTTGAAGCTACAAGAACCTTGGGGGCGAGTGATCATGCATTATTGGAATTCAACATTATGCAAGCACAAGTAATAGAACAAAGTCAAACCAGAGTCTTGGACTTTAAAAGAGTTAATTTCTCTGCTCTGACCATCACACATCAGAGATACCTTGACATATTCTTCAACATCTTCATCAATGACTTGGACAAGGGAATAGATGGGGAATTCATCAAATTTGCAGATGACACCAAGCTGGCAGGAATAGCCAACACTATGGAAGTTAGGCTTAAGTTACAGAAGGATCGTGACAGACTTGAACTTGTAACAAAATGAAATTCAATGGTGAAAAAAGTAAGGTTCTACATTTAGGCAAGAAAAACAAAATGCACAGGTACTATATATGTGGTACCTTGCTCAATAGTAGTAACTGTGAGAGGGATCTTGGAGTCCTAGTGGACAACCATTTAAATATGAGCCAGCAGTGTGCAGCAGCTGCCAAAAAAGCCAACATAGTCCTAGGCTGCATAAACAGAGGGGTAGAATCAAGATCACGTGAAGTGTTAATACCACTTTATAATGCCTTGGTAAGGCCACACTTGGAATTCTGCATCCAGTTTTGGTTGCCACGATGTAGAAAAGATGTGGAAACTCTAGAGAGAGTGCAGAGAAGAGCGACAAAGATGATTAGGGGACTGGAGGCTAAAACATATAAAGAACGGTTGCAGGAACTGGGTATGTCTAGTCTGATGAAAAGAAGGACTAGGGATGACATGATAGCAATGTTCCAATATCTCAGGGGCTGCCACAAAGAAGAGGGAGTCAAGCTATTCTCCAAAGCACCTAACGGTAGAACAAGAAGCAATGGGTGGAAACTAATCAAGGAGAGAAGCAACCTAGAACTAAGGAGAAATTTCCTGACAGTTAGAACAATTAATCAGTGGTACAACTTGCCTCCAGAAGTTGTGAATGCTCCAACACCGGAAGTTTTTAAGAAGAGATTGGATAACCATTTGTCTGAAGTGGTGTAGGGTTTCCTGCCTGAGGAAGGGGTTGGACTAGAAGACCTCCAAGATCCCTTCTAACTCTGTTATTCTGTTATTCTGCTCCCACAGACCATTCCTGGTGCAGAATTTGGTGGTAGAAAGATTGCTGCACACTGTCGCAGTTACCAGCTAAATTCTTGCTCATGTACTATCATATATGCAAATTACAACCCTCAAATGCTGCTAGGACATTTGAGAAATCTGAGTTTTGAGGGAAGGAAGGAAAGGGCAAAATACCTTTTGGCTTGTGTGGAGACATGCAGGTAGCACCTGTCAAGAACACTTGGCAAAAAGACAACAAGTCTTTTTTGGAGATCATTCAGCAGCTATGAAGGACAGCTGTACAAACCCAGGAAAAGATACTGATGCTTTAAAGGTAGAAGCAACATACACACCCCTGTGTGTTCGAAATGATATTTTGCCCCCTGAATTTGGATCTTTCACAGTCTAAAATAATCTAACGAAGAGAGGTTATGATAAGTAAGGGAGGAATGATAAGTATTTTGATAAAAGGCATGGTAGAAGATCAGACAGAGCAGTAAATAGGAGTCCAGGCAAAGATCTTAAGCTGTAGGTCCGATGTTAATATATTTGAACACATTATACACATGCGCAAGACATATTTATTCATTTCTTTGGAAAGAGGAAAATGCAACATTACTACCGGTCATAGTCCATGACGGCAATGGACAGGCTGACTTGTTCCACGTTTTCAGGAGGAATGTCAAAAACTATAGCTTCACTGTATACTGGGTTGAGAGTGTTCTTCTTTGTGGTTGTTTTCCTCTTTTTCAGGCGTCGACCATCACACATCAGAGATACCTTGACATAGGGATCTGAGATAACAGGGAAGGAACTAAACAAATGAAAGTGCATGGACAACTTTGCCAGCAGACAAAAATTAAAATAAGCAGCCGGTTCCATCTAGGTACCACAATGGGTGGATGTAACCAGTGATGGGCTGCAACTGGTTTAACAATTGGTTCTGTGAGCGCATGCTTTGTGCATGCACGCGCCTAAGGCACTTGCACAGAGTATTCAAAATACAGCAGTTTGAAGCTCAGCTCCTTACTTTCTAAGGCAGCCCCGGTCAGTAGAACAGTGGAGGTGCGGAAATCAGCTGTGCCGCGCGAATCAGCTGAGCCAGAAAGAAGGAAATATAGGACAGGATAGGGCAGAGGTGGGTGGGTGGGTGGGGCCAGTGGATGGTTTGCTAGAACCGGTCTGAACCAGCAGCAGCCCACCACTGGCTGTAACATCTTTGATCATGCTTGAACAGCCCTTTTAGAAATTCAGCACCAGGTCTTAAAATCCTGATAAGACTCTATTTCCCCATCAACTCCACTCAGGTAGGCTAAGTGAAAAGGCACCTGCTCACCTGATGAACCAGTGATATCCATTGCTTTGAGATTTCGGCATTTGATGACTGTGAGGGTCATCCTCCCTGCAGTAGGCAAGTAGCAAAGGGAAAACATGATTTCCCCCAGATCAATGCTTTCCTGTAAAAGGAAGAGTAGATACAGATTAACAGAGTTGGAAGGCACTTTGTAGGTCATCTAGTCCAACCCCCACTCAAGCAGGACACCCTACACTATTTCTGACAGATGGCAGTCCAGTCTCTTGCTGAAAGCTTCCAGTGATGAAATTCCCACATCTTCTGAAGGCAAGCTGTTCCATTGGTTGATTGCTCTCAGTCAGAAAATTCCTTATTTCTAGGTTGAATCTCTCCTTGTTCAGTTTCTATCCATTATTCCTTGTCTGGACTTCAGGTGCTTTGGAAAATAGCTTGACCCCCTTCTCTTTGTGGCAGCCCCTCAAATATTGGAACGCTGTTATCATGTCTCCTCTGGTCCTTCTCTTCACTAGACTAGCCATGCCCAGTTCCTGCAACCATTCATTTTATGTTTTAGCCTCCAGTCCCTAATCATCTTGGTTGCTCTTGCTTATCAATACTGTACTAGAAATGAAACATGGTTTTAAAAACTTATTCCAGAATAATACACTTGTTAAAATACATATACAGGACCTTACTTTTATCTCACTTTGTGCCCCTGGGAATCTTCCCTAAACTGATATTATTTGAATTTTGGTCTGTAGTAACGAAATGGGAAATCTGTAGCCTTTCCATATATACAGTGGCTGGATAGCATAGTGGTTAGACTGCCTTTGATAAGGAAGTGCAGGGTTCAAATTCAGGCTGGTACCTCCCTAATCAGTTGGGGTCCTTGAGCAATGCTTCACCTGCCTACCTCAAATGTGAGAGTGACACTAACCAGAAGATTCATGCCAGCTAAGACATTGCCCAGATTAACAGGGTCCATGTCAGATGTTGAGGTACTAAGACAATCTGATGATAAGTAGGAAACTAGAACAAACCTTGCATGGTGGAGACATGGAAACATGGAATGCTACTACAACAATAGATCTAATGAGAGGAGATCTGGGAGAGTGGCTCCAACTGATCCTAGGAACAACATCAGAGCTTTTTGTCCAAAAGAGAGCAAAGCTAAGATATTGTGCAGAGCACAAAAACTTTCGGGCTTCTGGTAGAGGACCTAAGTTTGAGGAAGAAATATAGCAACAATTTGGGTGAGGGAATAGATAGATAGATAGATGTAGATGATATAGATATATATAGATATAGATGTGTGTGTGCACGCCCTTGTGCGTGCATGTTTATTTATTAAATAAAATTTAAAAGAATAAAAACAATGCAAATTTTGAAAGAGAAAAGTATGAAAAATAAAGAAAAGTAATACGCGGAGAAAAAAGTACAGAGAAAGAAATACAGAAGAGAAAGGGGAAAAAAAGGAAAAGCAAAGACAAAATTATAACAAAGAATAATTGTATTTATTAGTGACTAATGAATCTTTTGTTGAAACAAAAAAAATGAACATATGATTTATGGGATTGATGATTAGAAAAGGTAAATTATGGAATGAAGGAAATAATGTAACCTAAGAGAGAGAGAGAGAGTAAAATATAAATGGATTTGTAACTACTGTGAAGCAGATCGGAAGCTTAGGAAATCTATAGCTCTTCCGATACTATTTGCTTCCCATAGCTGTCAGCACTATTGAAGGTCAGATATTATGGGAATTATATGGCAATATTCAGTAGGATATAGTTTTGTCTGAATGAATTAATTGGGCATTAATTCTAAAAAATTCATAATTTAAAAGATAACCTTATTTCAACCTTCCACTCCATTGTATTAGACTTCTGTCTTTCATAAACTGAGATGATAGGGATAAAAACCTCCATAATTTTTTAAAAGAGACTCTGCTTTGGTCTGAAAGTGTAGTTTCATTTTAGAAATAAGAGCCTACTACAGTGGTGGGATTCAGCCAGTTCGCACCACTTCGGGAGAACCAGTTGTTAACTTTCTGAGCAGTTTGGCAAACTGGTTGTTGGAAGAAATCATTAGGGCAGAGAACCGGTTGTTAAATTACTTGAATCCCACCACTGGTCTACTACTTGATCTATTCTTATAAACATTTTTGCAGAAGCACCATTAATTTTGATGGGAGTTATTCCCAGTTAAATGCATATATAATTACAGCTATACCCTGACATTTGTGAGAAACTAATTCTGCTTTTTAATAAAGGGCATCTGAATAGCTTCGGATATAATTCTTGAGGAAAACTTGTTCAAAAGACAGGGTGTCCATGTGGAGAAGGTTAAAAAAAAAATCAAGATGGCGGCCACAAATACACAACTGAAGCCCTGCCCTTTTTGTATATGGAACATATATGGAACATATGTCAAGGTGAAGGGCTCTGACCATGCTGATTTCTTTAACTCACTGACCTAACCCTATGGAGAGGAGACTAAGAGGTTGTGGTCAGTGGTGGGATTCACATTTTTTTACTATTGGTTCTGTGGGCATGGTGTGGCTTGGTGGGCGTGGCAGGGGAAGGATACTGCAAAATCTCCATTCCCACCCCACTCCAGGGGAAGGATACTGCAAAATCCCCATTCCTTCCCCACTCCTGGTGGAAGGATATTGCAAAATCTCCATTCCCATCCCACTCTGGGGCCAGCCAGAGGTGGTATTTGCCGGTTCTCCGAACTACTCAAAATTTCTGCTACCGGTTCTCCAGAACCTGTCAGAACCTGCTGTATAGCATCCCTGGTTGTGGTTAATGTTGGCTATATTTCTACGATACCAGTAATGGTCTTCCTCATTTTAACTATTAAATGCATTCATCCATTTTATACCTTGTACAAAAATGCATTGATGAGTAATGTTTTTATCTAAAAAAATTTTCTCTTTTCCTGACCCTGTAATCCCTTAATTCAGGTTAGAATCAGGGTAACTGGATGGAACTCAGCTTTTATTGGCTGGGTGCCTTTCCTGATGCCTATGTGGAGTTGGCAGTACATATTTTGAATTTGCTACCTAAAAGAGAAACATCTCCCGCTACTTAGGATTGAACTCTCAACCTTCTGAGTGGGAGGCAAGTGTTTTCACCACTAGGTCACTACACTGTTCTACCTAAGAGATCAAAATATTAATATGAATAAATATGTGCTTACGGCTGCGTGGCTAGGGGCATCAAATGATGCCATTGGCACTTTCAGGAACGTTTAGGTTTTGTTGCGTCAGATTCATGAGAAAGGCAAACAGACGTGGGAAAGGAAACTATTTACTTAAAATCTGGCAGTAAAACAACTTGAAAACTGGGAGACTGCTGAGATCTCATGAATGCATCCAGCAAGGGGCTGTAAGATCTTCATTCCAGTAAGTAGCACAACGATTTTTGCAAACACACCAGAATACAGAACAAGATGAGTGAGAAAGAGAACTATTTCTTTGGAAAACCATCCATTTAGTTGCTGGAGACTCAACTGGTAGCTACACTGATCATCCATTAATGTGTTAGATAGAAGTTCCTGACTCTGATTCTGCTATATATTAGTGTGAACAATGTCGGCATAAAAGCAGATGTTTCTCAAGCTTGACAACTTGAAGGTGTGTGGACTTCATCTCCCAGAATTCCACAGTCAGTCATGATGGCTGGGGAATCCTGGAAGCTGAAATCCACATGACTTTTAGGTTGCCCAGATTGATAAATGCTGGCTTAGAAGTAATTAAGCCTGATGAACATAAACAGATTTATGCGTATTAATGCCCAGAGCCTACTAGTGTTAATTAGACTCAGTTTATGGTATATTGCATTAAAATTTTATGGATTTCTAGTCAAAGGTCAAAAAGAATCCTCAAAGTAGTGGTTAGCTCATAAATCATACAAAATTACATTAATATATTTGTAAATTTTATGGAAGATGGCAGAAAGCAACACTTTTTATGCCTAAGTGGAGTAAAAACAATTCAAAAGTATGCTTTGTTAGGTCTGAGTTTCTTTTGTTTTTAAATATCTTGCCTAATGCAAGATATTGCCAGACCAATTCTTGAATACAGTTCATCTGTCTGGAACCCGCACTGCATATTGGACATTAATACAATCGAACGAGTCCAGAGATATTTCACAAGAAGAGTCCTCCACTCCTCTGCTCGCAACAAAATACCTTATGCCATCAGACTTGAAATTTTGTGCTTAGACAACTTAGAACTTCGCCGTCTTCGGTCTGACCTAAGCATAGTACATAAAATCATCTGCTACAATGTCTACCAGCCAATGAATACTTCAGCTTCAACCAAAACAATACAAGAGCACACAATAGATACAAACTCATGGTAAATCGATCCAAACTAGACTGCAGAAAATACGACTTCAGTAACAGAGTGGTCAATGCCTGGAATGCACTACCTGACTCTGTGGTTTCTTCCACAAATCCCCAAAACTTTAATCTTAGACTGTCTACTGTAGACCTCACCCCATTCCTAAGAGGTCTGTAAGGGGCATGCATAAGCACACCAGCGTGCCTACCGTCCCTGTCCTAATGTTTTCTTTTATTCGTATCCTTTTCATGTATTTATAATTATGTTTACACTTGTATCTGTCATAAAATACATGCTTGACCAAACAAACAAACAAACAAACAAACAAACAAACAAACAAACAAACGTATCTAGAACATGGGCTGCATTTAATACAGCTATCAGAGAATCCAGATAGGTTGCAGCTCCTTCCTGAGTATGTATTTGAGGAGGTTTAATGATGGAGATCAGAGAAACCATGGTTCAGATGAATCCTACAGAATGTGGCATGGGGTTTCAAAATCTAGAGGAGCAGATGACATTAGAGGTTTGGAGGCCTGAATTTTCTTGCAATCAGGATGGTTTAGCAGCAGCAGCAGCCGCAGCCAAAATGGAATAGCTAAGGGGAAATTGTATCTCTGGAACTGGTAGCAAAATGGCTGAATTTTGGCTAGTTTTATCTAAGTGTTTATGACAGCAAATTGGCAGGGGAATTCTGAGAGTTGAAGTCCAGACATCTGCAAGTTGGCAAGTTTGAAAAACACTGGGATAGATCATTTTACCTGAAAAGTTTAAGTGATCTCATATCTCACCCTCAGACAGGGTTGCAAAAC